CGTTATGTTTTATAACATTTATAAACTTGACTGACAAACAAGAAATAAATTCGCAACAAATTGGCATATACATTGGCGTACTGAAATGTACGTAGCAAATATAACACTAGATTCGATGCATTCGCATTAGTGCAAAGACAAAGATTGTCATTTGTAAATTCGCAACAAATTGGCATATACATTTGCGCACTGAAATGTACTTAGCAAATATAACACTAGATTCAAATGCATTCGCATTAGTGCAAAGACAAAGATTGTCACTTGTAAATTCGCAACATATTGGCATATACATTTGCGCACTGAAATGTACGTAGCAAATATAACACTAGATTCAAATGCATTCGCATTAGTGCAAAGACAAAGATTGTCACTTGTAAATTCGCAACATATTGGCATATACATTTGCGCACTGAAATGTACGTAGCAAATATAACACTAGATTCGCATTCATTCGCACTAGTGCAAATACAAGGATTGTCACATGGGGTAAAAAATTAAATACACAATCATGCATGCGTATGCCCAAGAAAATCTTTGCGGAAATGTTTCCTTTCTAGTAACGCCATGTATTATCGGCGTGTAAACGTGGCAGTCACGTCAAGAATTACAGTACCGTATAAATCTCCCACTATAAGCCGAGGGCTTATATACTTCCGTAAGCGATTTTTGATGGGCTTATATACAAGTGGGGGGGGGGCTTTTATACGGGTGGGCTTATACATAGACGATCTTTTGTGTTAGTAATAAACAAGTCAGTCATAAACGGGGAAATAAACGTGTATTAAGCAGCGTTACTGGGTTTACATTACAGGTAAACTACGTGAAGCGTTCCTCTTTTGAGCTTCTAAATTGATTCCAATTTTCCTCATTACTTTTGCAATTTAAAAAACTCTCTTGCAAATCCCTTGAGGGACTTTGCAATGTTGCTAAAAGCCAAAAAAATTTTCCTCAGTTCCTGTTAGAAGTTCTTAACTTCCTGTTACAAGTTCCTAACTTCCTGTTCTGTTCTGAGCGTTGCAATTGTAACTTCGCACCAGAGATCTTCAAACTTGTCCAAAGTTCGGAAGGTGCGAAATATTAGCAACATTCCAATGGTCGGGCCTGCGCAGAACGTACGCGCAGAACGGACTTTACGTGGTCTTTAAGAAAATTAATTTTAGAGTGCATAAGTATTTTGATAATTTGTTAAAATATCTCAAAGAAACTAGGAATTAGTTATTTGTTTTTGTATGAAGCCAGCTTGTCAACAAGACGCGTTCGCAGTGCTTGTTTCCAGTTGTCGACAAGTCTGGAACAAGTTGTTATCATCTTGTAACAAGGTTGATCAGGCCAACAGACTCGCAACAAGTTGTTCCAACAAGTCTGATATCGTCTGCACGTAACAAATTGATGACAACAAGCTCGTAGCATGCCATTATACATTTTTTTTGCAAGTAGCCAAAGAAATTTTCCGTTAGCTCTGCATGGTCCAAACTTGCTCGCTTCCAGCTTGTAAATTGCGACAGGGGACCAGGCACCAAATTAACGTATTTTTTTTCTGTTATGTTTGATATTGTCAAAATTGAGTGTCCAGTAACTTGCTGAAGCCAAATTGATCGAAAATTATCGGAGTTCTGGCTTAGGAAAATGGGGTTCTGGCATTTGAAAACGGAGTTTTGGCGTTTGAAAACAGAGTTCCAGCATTTGACAACGTAGTTCTGACATTTGCAAACTGAGTCTGGCATTTGAAAACGGAGTTATGGCTTTTAAAAACGGCGTTTTGATATTTTAAAGGGGAGTTCTGGCATTTGAAGACTGAGTTTTGGCATTTGAAAACGGAGTTTCGGCATTTGAAAATGGAGTTCTGGCTTTTAAAAACGGCGTTTTGATATTTTAAAAGGGAGTTGTGGCATTTGGAAACTGAGTTTGGCATTGAAAACGGAGTTATGGCATTTTAAAAGGGAGTTCTAGCATTTGAAAACGGAATTTCGGCATTTGAAAACGGAGTTATGGCTTTTAAAAACGGCGTTTTGATATTTTAAAGGGGAGTTCTGGCATTTGAAAACTGAGTTTGGCATTGAAGACTGAGTTTTGGCATTTGAAAACGGAGTTTCGGCATTTGAAAATGGAGTTCTGGCTTTTAAAAACGGCGTTTTGATATTTTAAAAGGGAGTTGTGGCATTTGGAAACTGAGTTTGGCATTGAAAACGGAGTTATGGCATTTTAAAAGGGAGTTCTAGCATTTGAAAACGGAATTTCGGCATTTGAAAACGGAGTTATGGCTTTTAAAAACGGCGTTTTGATATTTTAAAGGGGAGTTCTGGCATTTGAAAACTGAGTTTGGCATTGAAGACTGAGTTTTGGCATTTGAAAACGGAGTTTCGGCATTTGAAAATGGAGTTCTGGCTTTTAAAAACGGCGTTTTGATATTTTAAAAGGGAGTTGTGGCATTTGGAAACTGAGTTTGGCATTGAAAACGGAGTTATGGCATTTTAAAAGGGAGTTCTAGCATTTGAAAACGGAATTTCGGCATTTGAAAACGGAGTTATGGCTTTTAAAAACGGCGTTTTGATATTTTAAAGGGGAGTTCTGGCATTTGAAAACTGAGTTTGGCATTGAAGACTGAGTTTTGGCATTTGAAAACGGAGTTTCGGCATTTGAAAATGGAGTTCTGGCTTTTAAAAACGGCGTTTTGATATTTTAAAAGGGAGTTGTGGCATTTGGAAACTGAGTTTGGCATTGAAGACTGAGTTTTGGCATTTGAAAATGTAGTTCTGGCTTTTGAAAACGGAGTTCCGGAATTTGTAAACGGAGTTCTGGCATTTAAGAACTGAGTTGTGGCATTTGAAAACGGAGTTTTTGCGTTTGAAAACAGAGTTCTGGCATTTGAAAACAGAGTTCTGACATTTGAAAACTGAGTTCTGGCATGTGAAAAGAGTATTCTGGCATTTGAAAAGGGAGTTGTGGCATTTGGAAACGGACTTTCGGCATTTGAAAATGGAGTTCTGCCTTTTAAAAACGGCGTTTTGATATTTTAAAAGGGAATTCTGGCATTTGGAAACTGAGTTTGGCATTGAAAACTAAGTTTTGGCTTTTGAAAAGGGAGTTCTGGCTTTTGAAAACGGAGTTCAGGCATTTGAAAACTGAGTTTGGCATTGAAACTGAGTTTTGGCATTTGGAAACGGAGTTCTGGCTTTTGAAAACGGAGTTCAGGCATTTGAAAACTGAGTTCTGGCATTTGAAAACAGAGTTCTGGCATTTGAAAAGGGAGTTCTGGCATTTGAAAAGGGAGTTCTGGCATTTGAAAACGGAGTTTCGGCATTTGAAAACGGAGTTATGGCTTTTAAAAACGGCGTTTTGATATTTTAAAGGGGAGTACTGGCATTTGAAAACAGAGTTTCGCATTGAAAACTGAGTTTTGGCATTTGAAAACGGAGTTCTGACTTTTGAAAATGGAGTTCTGGCATTTAAAAACGGAGTTATGGCATCTAAAATCACAGTTTTGGCATTTGAAAAAGGAGTTCTGGCTTTTGAAAAGATAGTTTGGCATTTGAAAAAGACGTTCTGGCTTTTGAAAACGGAGATGCAACTTGTTAGCAACAGCCTGTATTAGTCTTGTTCGAACAAGTTGTAGCAAGTCTATCACCGTCATCAACCTTGTAACAAGGTGATAACAACTTGTTCCAGATTTGTCACAAAAACTGGGAACAAGCGTGCAAACTGATATTACATACAGTAATACAAATTTTATGGAAAAAGTTCTAACTTGTAAGCAAATCACACTTCTCAGTGTTTTATATGCCAGTAAATGGTGCTTTCTCGCTTATTCTATATTACATAAATAGGCCGTATTCTGAGCTTGAATTCGTTTTCAGTTGTTGTCACACGTACTTACCGTTTTTTAGTATTTTGTGACCAAACCTCAAGAAATTTCGCTCGTTGGAATTCACGTATCCGCCATTTTTCTGCTGAATACTTCATGTAATATTAAACTATTGCGCTAGTTTCAGTCTCTTGACGGTGGTATTACCGCGCGGTTTTACGCAATTTGCATTGTTTTTTTCTTTTGTCAATTGTTTTGAGCTATAAAATTATTATTACCAATACGAAAATGATCGCCTTAAACAAAATGAAAAAGCAGACTTTTTACTCACCCAACATTTGTACAACAGTCGCTTTGTTCACTATTCACGCAATAATTCATCAGCGTTGTTTCCTGGAATTTCTTGGCACCAGCCGTAGGTGTATTTTGTCTTCTTCAATCTTTGGAGTTGACCAAAAACAAAGTGTAGAGTAAAAAGTATAAACAATGCGTTATTTACTTGTAAACTTTTCGATGCTTTATTCTTCAAATAATTCATAGTCGCTTTCGCATACACTGTCCGAAGAATCTGCATCAGATAATTCGTCAACACTGATTTCCTTCGCATTTGTGTTTTCATCGTGCTTGTTTTGTCAATTTGCGCAACGACAAGATTCAGTGCATTTTAAGTCCGCCTTTAGGCAGGAACAGCGCTGTGTCCCGCAACTCCACTGCAAAAAATCCTTGCGTAAAATCAACTCAAATATCTGAGTAAAAAAATGCATTCACAGTGACACACAAAGTTTGAGTAAAAATAACTCAAATTTCTGAGTAAAACAAAATGCATTCACAGTGACACCTAAAACGTGAGTAAAGTGCGATTTTTACTCACTGTGAGTAAACTACCGGTTCTACGCAAAACAATGAGTAAAATTTTACTGAAATTTCTGAGTAAAACAAAATGCATTCACAGTGACATCTAAAACGTGAGTAAAATGCGATTTTTACTCACAGTGAGTAAACTGCAGGTTTTACGCAAAACAATGAGTAAAATTTTACTCAAATTTCTGAGTAAAACAAAATGCATTCACAGTGACATCTAAAACGTGAGTAAAATGCGATTTTTATTCACAGTGAGTAAACTGCAGGTTTTACGCAAAACAATGAGTAAAATTTTACTCAAGTTTCTGAGTAAACCAAAACCCATTCCCAGTGACACCTAAAACGTGAGTAAAGTGCGATATTTACTCACAGTGAGTAAAAGAAGTGCCTTACTCAAAACAACGAGTACAAAACTACTCAAATCTTTAAACATTCTCCTTTTTCTCAGCGAGCTGAGTACCTTTTTACTCATTGTTCCGAGTAAAGCCATGACTGAAAGAAATAATATAAAGTCAGATACTATATAGTCATCTCAACACAACTGTGTCAGTGAAAATAATGTATTCTACCAATATATAGAACAAATTAAAATTAGCATACACAGTAGTAACAAAAAAGTGATTTTGACCCACAATACATGCATGCATGGTTGTACGCACTCCGTTCAGAGTAAAGATGCAACATTCGAACCAAACTGATGCAAATACTGCAATGAGTTATAAACGATACCTACTGTATATACAATACAAGAGCAATTGCCCTCTCCTACTGAGTTCAGATTTTATTCAGTTCATATTACTTAGTATATGTCATTCCTAATTTCATTAATTGACCTCCTCTCGAAAAGAGAATGTGAGTTCATGCCATCAGTTCCACAATTCCACCCTTAACTCGAAAAAGTACCAGCAAGTCAGCGACAATAAAGATTTGAGAAATTGCATTCAACGGTCGCCAGACAACCATTACAAGAAATGGCAATTCTTTTGGGTCTTTGCTTGACACGAAGCTGTCTACATCTTAACTTTCCTAGATAAATAGAAGGAACATATAATTAGAAATTAATGTTGCAGAGTGAACTACATTTATTATATCCCTTAATTCAGCCCCCGGTTTGGGTGTGCTCTAACATAACACTTATACATGGTTATTATTTGAGTAAGGAAATGCCAAAACCACATATAGTATAATATACAATAAACAATATAGTATGATATAAAATAATAAATAAAATTAATACACACTGCCACTGAGATTTAGACCGAATAATATTCTTTCAAATTTCTAGGTTAATGTTTCATATGAGTTTTTAAACCTAATAATTTCTAAACACTTAAATATTTTTATATTATTCATTTTTCGATATATGTCAATAACTGTAGTCCCCAATTAATCAGCCACCATGCAAATCAGCCACCAAAGAGTGGTGCCGGCGAAAGGTGGCTTTGTCACCAAACTTGCACAGCAACACCAGAGTGCAAAAGTATAGACAATAGTGTTGTTCAAAACAGGAGAATATAATTCCCTCAAATTGCAAGGTTAATGAATCATAAATTCCAAAAAACTTTCATTTTTTTAAAGTCATGCACATATATGTCTATATACAAGTCCCCAATATCAGGTGGCCAATGTTAATCAGCCACCAAAGAGGGGTGCTGGCGAATGGCGGCTTGTCGCCACACTTGCACAGCAACACCAGAGTGCAAAAGTATAGACATATATGTTGTTCAAAACTGGAGAATATAATTCTTTCAAATTCCAGGACTGTTAATTAATCATTTCCAAAAAACTTTAATTTTCTTAATGTAATGCACATATACAGTATGTCTATATACCATTCCCCAATACCAGGCGGCCAATTTGTTAATCAGCCACCAAAGAGGGATGCCGGCGAAAGGCGGCTTGTCGCCACACTTGCACAGCAACACCAGAGTGCAAAAGTATAGACATATATGTTGTTCAAAACTGGAGAATATAATTCTTTCAAATTGCCAAGACCGTAAATTAATCATTTCCAAAAAACTTTAATTTTCTTAATGTAATGCACATATACAGTATGTCTATATACAATTCCCCAATACCGGGCGGCCAATTTGTTAATCAGCCACCAAAGAGGGATGCCGGCAAAAGGCGGCTTGTCGCCACACTTGCACAGCAATACCAGAGTGCAAAAGTATAGACAAATATGTTGTTCAAAACTGGAGATATTATACAATTCTTTCAAATTGCCAGGTTAATTAATCATTTCCAAAAAGTTTCCATTTTTTAATGTCATGCACATGCATATATGCCTATATACAAGTCCCCAATATCAGGCGGCCAATTTGTTAATCAGCCACCAAAGAGGGGTGCTGGCGAAAGGCGGCTTGTCGCCACACTTGCACAGCAACACCAGAGTGCAAAAGTATAGACATATATGTTGTTCCAAACTGGAGAATATATAATTCTTTCAAATTGCCAGGTTAATTAATCATTTCAAAAAAACTTTCATTTTTTTGTCATGCACACATATGTCTATATACAAGTCCCCAATATCAGGCGGCCAATTTGTTAATCAGCCACCAAAGAGGGATGCCGGCGAAAGGCGGCTTCTCGCCACACTTGCACAGCAACACCAGAGTGCAAAAGTATAGACATATATGTTGTTCAAAACTGGAGAATATATAATCCTTTCAAATTGCCAGGTTAATTAATAATTTCCAAAAAGCTTTCATTTTTTTAATCTCATGCACATATATGCCTATATACAAGTCCCCAATATCAGGCGGCCAATTTTAATCAGCCACCAAAGAGGGGTGCCGGCGAAAGGCGGCTTGTCACCACACTTGCACAGCAACACCAGAGTGCAAAAGTATAGACATATATGTTGTTCCAAACTGGAGAATATATAATTCTTTCAAATTGCCAGGTTAATTAATCATTTCCAAAAATCTTTCATTTTTTTGTCATGCACATATATGCCTATATACAAGTCCCCAATATCAGGCGGCCAATTTGTTAATCAGCCACCAAAGAGGGGTGCCGGCGAAAGGCGGCTTGTCGCCACACTTGCACAGCAACACCAGAGTGCAAAAGTATAGACATATATGTTGTTCAAAACTGGAGAATATAATTCTTTCAAATTGCCAAGACCGTAAATTAATCATTTCCAAAAAACTTTAATTTTCTTAATGTAATGCACATATACAGTATGTCTATATACAATTCCCCAATACCGGGCGGCCAATTTGTTAATCAGCCACCAAAGAGGGATGCCGGCAAAAGGCGGCTTGTCGCCACACTTGCACAGCAATACCAGAGTGCAAAAGTATAGACAAATATGTTGTTCAAAACTGGAGATATTATACAATTCTTTCAAATTGCCAGGTTAATTAATCATTTCCAAAAAGTTTCCATTTTTTAATGTCATGCACATGCATATATGCCTATATACAAGTCCCCAATATCAGGCGGCCAATTTGTTAATCAGCCACCAAAGAGGGGTGCTGGCGAAAGGCGGCTTGTCGCCACACTTGCACAGCAACACCAGAGTGCAAAAGTATAGACATATATGTTGTTCAAAACTGGAGAATATATAATTCTTTCAAATTGCTAGGTTAATTAATAATTTCCAAAAAGCTTTCATTTTTTTAATGTCATGCACATTACCTATATACAAGTCCCCAATGTCAGGCGGCCAATTTGTTAATCAGCCACCAAAGAGGGGTGCCGGCGAAAGGCGGCTTGTCGCCACACTTGCACAGCAACACCAGAGTGCAAAAGTATAGACATATGTTGTTCAAAACTGAAGAATATATAATTCTTTCAAATTGCCAGGTTAATTAATAATTTCCAAAAAGCTTTCATTTTTTTAATGTCATGCACATATATGCCTATATACAAGTCCCCAATATCAGGTGGCCAATTTTAATCAGCCACCAAAGAGGGGTGCCGGCGAAAGGCGGCTTGTTGCCACACTTGCACAGCAACACCAGAGTGCAAAAGTATAGACATATATGTTGTTCAAAACTGGAGAATATATAATCCTTTCAAATTGCCAGGTTAATTAATAATTTCCAAAAAGCTTTCATTTTTTTAATCTCATGCACATATATGCCTATATACAAGTCCCCAATATCAGGCGGCCAATTTTAATCAGCCACCAAAGAGGGGTGCCGGCGAAAGGCGGCTTGTCACCACACTTGCACAGCAACACCAGAGTGCAAAAGTATAGACATATAT